AGATTGTAAAGGTACAAGGTATCAAATTAATGGAAATTCTTTAGGTTGAGTTTGAGGAAAGTAAGTTGTCAATGTACATAAAATTATTAAATATCATTTCTAATAAAATTGTATATAACAAGAATAAATATAAAATGAGAAAATGTAATTTCTCCGAAAGTGTGAAGTATTATTCTCCAAGTCCAGGATAACTAGAGATATTATTCAGTTAGACTTTTGAGGCAGAATAATGAAGAACGAAAATCAGTCTGATCATTTGATTCGTGGGTAGCTTTTCCCAGTTACACTAACCGCATGCCTTTCAGTGAGAATAGCAGATCTGTGATCTGCTTCTAAAGCTGTTAGAGAAACGAAGAATCCTTCTCCTTCATGAGTTGCCCTAGGGTTTTACCCAACTTTTCCCTTGGTTTTGTTTTGTATTGTAACCCTGTGCTTGCTTACTGAAATGCATCAGATTAGGGGGAAAGTTGAATTGGCGCTTCTGAAAATAAGACCTTTCTAGTGTCATCATGAAATATTTGTCATTTAGAATTGTTCTTTTGATAATGAAATAGGATCCATGATAATCAGTTATAACTACATTTTGGTTTCCACAAGAAAGCTGAAATTTTTTTCACTGGCTCCTCAAATGAGAGGACAAAAAACATCAGTCCGATGGGGATCCAGTTATGCTCATTGACCATGGGACACCCAAATCTCCTTCTTCATTAGGACCTACCTCTTGCTTGGTTCAAAAATAAAGAAATCACTAAAGCGGAATATCAACCTTTGGAAGTAGAGAAGCTGAATATTAAAACACCGTATATAATGAGCCTCAGAAAACACTCCAAGTGTCGGTAAATTTTCTTTTGTGGCAGAGAAACAAGCTCAGAATTTGAATTTTTGCTAAGCAAACTAAAGACAAAAGTCATACTTGAGTGTGTAGTGTGGTATGTTGGAGGCCATGTTAGACATCAGAGGAGCACAGGCTGAAGCCAGGAGCATCACATGGGAGTTCAACTCTCACTTACTAGAATCACTGTGGGTCAGGTTGCTTAATCTCCAGGGTCTTCTGCCTCCTCATCTTGAGAATGAAGGAGAGCTATCTATTATTTTTAAGATCTTATTTTAATTTTTATGTTCAATGTTTGGGGCTATGCGGACACACTGAGGGTGATGAATTCTATGTACAAAAAAAAATCAATGCATACAGATTTTCTCTCAGCTGTGTCAAACCAGCTCTTTTTTCACTCTTCAGATGACCACTGGTGACCTTATTTCTATCATTTTTTTTTTCCCCTAAGCTATTTTAGGTTTGGGTTTGTTTTCTTTTCCCTAACCATACTTCCTCTGTCCCAGCTACTTCCTCTCTCTCTCTCCCTCATGTTCTGAACCAGCAACTATGTATGTGAATGTAAACTTCACTTGAGACTCAGCCAAGTTCTCCTGGCCATGCAAATTTCTTCATGAACCCAAATGTCTACATTTCCATTCTCAGAAGCTAAGAAGGCTTCTGTCATCCACAAAGAACATTTTCAACGTCATTTCAGAGGACTGAATTTTGCTTTGAAAAATGGGTGGGAGAAGTTGAAGTAAGACTGTAAAGAGGGGAGCAGAAGGGCAGGCGCTGTGGCGGCTGGGTGGCTCAGTCAGTTAAGCGTCAGCCTTCAGCTCAGGTCATGATCTCAGGACCTTAGGATGGAGCCTCGCATCAGGCTCACTGTTCAGTGGGGAGTCTGCTTCTCCCTCTGCCTCTCCCCCTCTCCCTCCCCCAGTGACTTGTGCACTCTCTGTCACTCACTCTCTCTCTCTCAAATAAATAAATAAAATCTTTAAAAGAAGAAAGAAGAACAACAGGGGCTATGCAGGGTAAAGGAGTGCTGGGTTGGAATGAGATGTCCTCTTTTGTCACCACCACTTACCACATACACACACATGCCCTAGGTGCCACCTTGAGTGGTTCATGCCGTTGAGATCTTGTTCTGACCAGGCAGGCACGTCCACATAATGATGATCATGGTTTCCATTGACTTAGCACTTGGCCATGTTTCAGGTGCTTTTATGTATGTGTGCTTTCTGTCATGATTCATTAAGGTGGTATTATTGCTCCCATTTTTATGATTAAAAACCTGAAGCTCAAAGAGGTTAAATAATTCCTGCAATGTAATAGCAGGTGGCAGAGCTGTATTTTTAAGCTATTATCTGTAAGAGTCCAAAGTTTTCCTGCAAAGATCATGGCTTTGTAAGGTCTGAGACTAGGCTGATCACTTACCTATGCTTTTCTCATTTGTGAAAATGAAGACACTAGTTCCTACCTTGCAGTATAAAATGAAATGATCCATGTGAAAGAGTCAACTCAAGGTAGGGGCTTAATAGCTTAATAAATAGAGTCCCTGCCTTCAAGGTACAATATAACTTTTCTCATATTTTACTTTATACTAGCTCTGTGAATTAGGCAAAGCATTACTGTCATCTTACACGTGGAGTAATTGAGGCACAAGAAGGGTTATGTGAGTTACCTGAGGTCCCACATTAGGTGATGGCAGATACGGAACATCAACCTTCTAACTCTTAGTCCAGACTTTCCTTATCAGTAAGTTGTCTTTAAGTTTTGTTTTTTGATTTTCAGCAGAAAGATACAAAAACAAAAGAAAGAAACAGTACAGGGAAGGAATTCTATGTGTGCTGGAGCCAAATAAGCCTGGTTTTGACTTGTAGCCGCACTGCTTACCATGTGACTAAACCCCTTGATTTCTCTGAGTTTTGGTTTCTTATCTATTAAATAAACAGAATGAAGATTTCTTTGGGGAGTTCTTGTGAGAATTGGATGTAAAGTGTTTCGTTGTACCAGATACCCAGTTGGAACTTAAGAAGAGCTACTACTTTTAGTGACAAATACTACTATTTAATTATAATGTACAATTATGTGTTTATAATTATTTATCCTTTGCTCAGTGAATACAGTGTAATGTCCATGGTATCAGGTATTGCCTGGGCTGTGGGGCCACAAAGATGGCTAAGACACAAACTTGGTATAGAGTCCCACCATCAATAATTCTCTGTGATATCATAAGAGATAATGTATTAAATGTATATTACTAGCTTTCACTGATTTTTAGGATTTTTTTAAATCATTTGCCCAATTTTGTCCCTGGAGATAAGAAAGCCAGAAATGCCTAGTTCAAATGTACACAATATGGGTAGGATGAAACTCTACTTTTAGCTTCCCAGGGCTGCCCTAGTGACCTCCACCATGCAGACAAAAAGGTGTGGGGGTGCCTGGATGGCTCAGTCAGTTAAGCATCTGACTTCAGCTTAGATCATGATCTCAGGGTCCTTGGGCTCCTCAATCAGCAGGGGATCTGCTTGTCCCTCTGCCTTCCCTCACCCATTCTCTCTCTCTCTCAAATAAATAAATAAAACTTTAAAAAAAAAAGAAAAAAAAGAAAAAGAAGGTGGGCCTGGGGATGTATGTGCTGTGCTTACCATTGCCCATTTCTGACTTCCCAAATTATCACCATTATTAACAGCATGTTACTTACATAAAATTATTTTAGCTTTTAAAGTCCCCTTTCATATATTTATCATAGCCATATCACATATGCATTTCATGATATTTTATTTCAGAGTCAGGATATCACTCTCAGGCATAATTCACCTTTTTAAGGAGAGAATGAAAAGCAAAGGAAAAGAAATTCATGCTCCCTCTCCTTTCTAGGAAGTTGTAAAAGCAACTGGTTGAATTCACTCAAAAAACCCATATGAATGAATAAGATCCTTCTGCATCTTGGTTCCTAGCTATTAAATACAACTGTACTGATAAATGGTTGGGTTAGAAATACGGCCTTATTGCAGCCTACCTTAAGCCCAACCGGAACTGAAGCCTACATTTCATTCATAGAAAGGGATTTTTAGCCAGGGCACAAAATGGATTAAGTTCAAGAACTTGTTTATTCATTCCCTAAACAATTTGTTTTGGAATATTTACATTAAGGAGGATAAAATGTTGGGTGGAAGCAGGTACTATGAATCTCATGAGTCCAATGAGAGACAAACCATAGAAATAATCAGACAAACATGAAGTGAAAACTTGGGCAAGGGCTGTGAGAGCTCCATGGATCGGTGAAGGCCTATGATAAACAGATTTGCTTTCGTCAAGGAGTTGGGAAAAACTTACAGGGGTAGTGATGATTGGACCGAAATTTGATGAAAACAGTGGGAGTTAATTAGCCAAAGTTAGCGAGGTTGTGACATGGATGAGGAGAGCTGGGGGAGAGCATGGAGATGTGGTACAAGGTAAGTCTGAGGAAGGAGTCAAATCACTATGGCTTAATTGCTTACCCTAAGTTTTGTCTCCTGTGCCCCCAAAGCAGCGGGAAGCACTACAAGAAGTGTTTTAAGCCAAAGGCTTGTTTTTGTTGTTTGTTTGGTCCTTCTTTGTTGAAGGTGGGAGATGTGTGCCGAAGCTTATATTTTGAAAAGATCCTTCTCCATAGTGATGAGACTAGACTGGGGCGGAAGTAGGGGCAAGATGATGGTGATGTGAACTGTGGCAGTGGAAAGAAGAGATCAATGAAAAGCTCTCGGGCTCATAGACGTATGTACCCAATGTACACCATTCTCCAAACGAAAGAAATGTCCCTTTTGAAAGTCATCTTTTGTGATGCAAACTGAAAAGTTTGCCACAGACGACAGCAGAGATGCGACAGAGTGACATGACTGTACATTCCAAATCCTTTAATTTTTAAAACTCAGAAGCTCAGAGCCACCACGGTGACTTAATGGAATCATTACCAATGGATAAGGACATGTCATCCATCTGCTTCCCCTCATTCCACTTGGACATAGGCCATTGTTTCTACAAAGAGTGGCTTGGAGCCATGCAAGGTTTCAAGGGAAATTGGCCTTTCGGGGGGGCATACGAATAGATAATGCATATTGCCACCATAAAATCTCTAATGAATATTAAGGGTGGATTTCATTTGTGGTGATTGAAAGGAACTCATAAATTCTCTCTCTAGGATGCGGGAATTTTTTCCTCCCTGTGGAGAGATTTAATGGATTTGCGGCATTTTGAATGATTTGGCAAGAAATCAGAGGTACCTGTGCAGTCACCCACAAAGGGCACTTAGCTTCTTGCATGTGATAGTCATCCCCACAAAATATTTTCTGCAAGAACCCAGAGTGATTGATGCAACCCACCGTAAGTCATGACAAGGTGTCAACTGAAAAACTGGAAAAAGAAGTGGTTAAAGACACCGCAGCTTTAAAAACAAATTTGACTTTTAGAGAAGGGTTATTTCCTTTTAGAAAAAAAAAAAAAAGTTAGACCTGCCACTTGCAAGAAATTTAGATTAGTTGTTTGTGGCAAGGGCCATCATACTTTGAGGCCACTGAGAGCTCCTACTGCTCTCTGTGTGGAGTAGATTAAACTGTTCCCACACAATGATAAATATATTGCAAAGAGCTATAACAGGAATACAGTAAGTTGTAGAACTTAATGGCACAACTTCCAGTTAAAACAATATTCTTAGGGTTTCTTTGGCCAGTTCCCATTTTATGTGTGCTATTTTTGATAAGTTAATTTTTTACATTTGCAGAATCAATATCTTTCAAAGCTTTATAGGATTGAGGAAGAGAATTAGAGGCATGAGTTCCAGAGAGATTTGCTAGCTGTGTGGCCCTGGGGTAACAGACCCCATTCTGGAAAATGTAAAGATAATCTATTAAAAAAAAAAAAAAAAGCAGATGAGGATTATGATTAAAAATACCATCAGCTCTAAACATTCCGTGTGTGTGGAAGGAAAATGGGGAAAATGCCCAAAACAGCAAGGACTCCAAAGGCATTCAGATTGTACTATGAAATGTGACAGATGATCTATTTTTAGAGAAAGTAATTTTTAATCTTTTTAATGCTGGAATTTCAATACTTGAAGTAAAAAGAGTTCTGGGTAATTTTGTTTTATTGGAATAGTGTATTTCTTTGTGAAATGAATCAAGGATCTTGCTTTCTTATCCCATGAATTAGATACTCTGAAGGAAGTTAACCCAAATGCCCTGCGTCCTACTTACATGAAGAAATTGTTACTATGATTTAAGACACTGATTCCTTTTTGATGCTAGCTAGCGAAGCTTGGCTCAGTGGGGAAATTTTTCTAAGTGTGGAATTAGTTCTCAATTAGGCTTCCCTTGGGTGGGAAATGTCTTCATTTGTGAAGATTCCGGTTTAGAAGACAAGCCAGATGGTATAGGCTATAATTTCCTTAGCTGTAAAAAGTAAATGGATAAGACTAGGTAACCACCAAGATCTCTTTCAGGGACAAATATTTATGAATCAACTTTGTGAAGGAATAAATAACTGTTGAAGATTATATTAAGTCATCGTCTTGGGGATGGGACTTAATTCCCGTGAAAATATTCCTGAACTTAGAACCTTATATTTTAAAAAGATAATATGGTAAAAACCTATTACCCAGTTTTATATAACTGGGTAATGTATAGTGTTTTAACTTGGGTGTCTTGTTATTGCTCACTTACTAGAATTCAATGCTATTTGGATCTGAAAGGCTGATATAGTTTCATTTATGAGAGGGACTTAGGGAGCTCATTCTAGATGAGAATCAGAGGCCTTGGAAAACTGAAGGTTTAAAGGAGAAAAATGACACTGGAAGAAAGAAGCACAGCACATGTGATGATTTCAAGTAAAAGGTGTTTCACAATTTTGCTAGAATATTATGTCCTAAAACTGTATTTCTCGATGTGTGGTTCCGTGAACCAAGGGCATCAGAATCACCTAAGGCATTTGTTACTAAGGTCTACCTATGCTAGAATTACTGAATTGGATTTTCTAGGATGGGCATTCTCTGATAAGCTCCACAGGTGATAGTTTTATGCTCACCAAACTTTGAGAATCACCTCTGAGTAGAAGAAAACAATTCATGGTTCCCTGATTTTCCAATTTAATCTTCACCTAACCAAAAGTCTTTTTGAGCGATGACAGATATTTAACTTAATTTGATTTAGTAAGAAGACTACCCTGTAAAGTAGATAATTCAATTTTCCAAAAGAGACGGTAGGGCTCTGAGGATTGAGGAATTTGTCCAAGCCCTGTTCCAGGGCTAGGAGTTCAAAGCCTTCGGAATCCCATTCCTGTAAGATCGTTACATCACTTTAGGGACCTCATGCTCAGAACACAGCAAAGGAATGCACTGGGCCGCCCTTGGGAACTCTCAGTACTCAAAGCCCATGTGATCATCCTGCTTAAAAGTGTACAGAGCCTCTAATGGGTGCACCTGATAAATCCCCAGAAGTAGTTCAGTGCTTTCCAAAGTGACTTGGTGAAAACTCCCATCAGAGAGTGTTGGGGCTTTTGATAAATCATAGAACAGAAAAATCCCCAGATAAAGGATAACAAACCACAAGGCCACTTACCCTGTATCTTCCAGATTTTGTAAAATGCTTTTGAATATAAATAACTCCTTGATTATGATACATTTTTCCTTAGTAACTGTGTAAATGGAATCTGATTTTCTTAATTAGATCATAGTTCTGTTCTTTCAAGCTTAACATCCAAGATGAATTAAAAACCATTTGCCCAATTCCTTTTTTCAACTTTCTTAAAATTATGGGTAACTTTTTCTTTCCTATGCTGCCATTTTCCAACCCTCTTTTCTGCCAACTCCTCCTCAGTATGGATGTTATAGTGGGTTACTTCCCTATGGTTCTAGTACTCATAGAACTCTCTCCCAACACTTCTGTATGATCTAACGCCCCGAACACAACACTCTATCCAGTCACTGAGGAGAAAAAGTCATCCCCTGTCAGAGGGTTAAAGAAAATGTCCCAGGACTGCGAAGCATGCAACCCAGTTACTTTAGTATTTCCAGTATAATTTGGTCATGATCTCGAAATCCTATGATGTTTGAGCCAAGGTGATGGGATTGGAAGGGATCTCAAGGTAGTGTGTGCATGTATATCAGAGTGTGTGTTGCTTTGCATCAAATGACATTAGCACAACTCAAAAAGAAACGTGTGAAAAAGGTTTCATTTGATTCACCATAGCCAACCCCCATCTGTCTTTATCTTTCTTCTAAACCAGTAAATTGTAAGTGGCGTTATACAGCGGTAGTCATATGTGATGAAATAGGGTTGTTGTTTTTTTTTTTTTTAATGTTCCTTTAAATGTCAGAATAGGTTGTGGGAAATGAAACTCACTGGTGTTAAATGGTAACAAAACTGATGATTTTGAAATATTTATGTTAAAAGGCTTTTTGAAATTGAGTACTTAGCTTCTGTAATGTGCTTTTCCTGACAGTCTGCAACCCTTGGATATCTTTATTCACCACAATTAGTAAATTTGATGGCTGTATTTATTGTGCATTAATTCAGTTCTGATGAAAGTGGAGAAAAGTCTCCCTTGACTAAAATACAATTGAATTCAAATTCAACCAAAGGAACCGCAGTGCAAATGTGGTTACTGCCAATGAGTTGTCAACCAAAGCAAGTGTGGCCTTTGTATCTGAGAAAATTGTTAGAAAGGTGAGGTTACAGCTTGATCAGTAACAAAAACAGGACTAATTAAAAAGTCAGTGTGCATATATGAAACTGGAAGTAAGTAAATTATGGTATGTCCCTATTCTTTCCATTGTCTAGACACATGCCCCATTCCCCACCCCACTAACAAGGAGTCATATAGTACAATGGCTTGCCTTTGGAAATTAAACATATCAGCTTTTCACCAATATTTATTAAACCCCTACTATCCATAGAATGCTTTTGGATTTTTAGTGTGGCTAGCCTGTACTTAGAAGTTTTGTAGCATTATAAGGGGAACACATTAGACTATAACAGAAGGGACCCTGGGGTTAAATTTGGGATCCACGGCATCCACATCCACATTACTGCCTGATACCCAGTTGCTTCTTCCGCGTGGTGGGGAAAATAGAGCCCTTCTCCCAGACTTATTGCTAAGATGATAAGAGAGATTTTGTATGACGGTGCTCAGCTCTCTGGCTGGCATACAGATCGTGACCCAAAACCCCAAGAACGAATGTTAAAAGGGAACATGTATTTTGGAAAGCTGCATCTCAGCACCAGTGTGGCAATTACAGATTCAGGTGTAAATGAAGCATTTTGTTGAGCTCTTTGACTGCCTTTTGAACTTCAATACTGTCTCTAAACTTCTCAGTATGGCTGCTGGTGTACATGTTAACATTATCAATAGAGGATCAAACTATTGATCCTCTATTGGATGTATGGATATTTTCCATACATCTTGAAGACTTCTGTATGATACATACAAAGCAAAATGTGTTTCTCTTCTTAGCTTTACATGTTTCTTTGTGCATCCCTTCTGTTTTTCTCCCCTTTACCTCTGCTCAATTTCAGTGACTTCTCCAGTTGCATTTCCATCCCTTCCAAGCTTGCATACTATCTGGTAAGTTTGTGCTTGCTACAACTTCCTCTCTTGGCTTGGTTTCAAGTTCACCCTCCTCTGCCTTCAATTTCCTTCCCTAACTGCTCCTGAAAAATACTCCATTATGGTTTTAGGAGGAAGTAATATTGTACCAAGGCTTTGGAAAAGAATTACAACATAAAAAGTGGGGAAAGGAAAGAGACCAGAAGAAGGGGCAGAGGACAAAGGTGATGAGGGGGCCCATTCTCTAGTTATAAAACCAAAGTTTATGTGCACAGCTAACTGCTAAAGAAGTGAGTGGTGCTGCTTTGGGCTTGCAATTTTCTCCCTTAATTTATTTTGAACTTTTTTCTGTATAAAGGATTTGGCTCTGTGGTACAGTGGAGTCAGACTGGCCTGGGTTCAATCCTTCTTAGCTTTTTGACTTTAGGTGAGTTCACTCCTTTGTTCTCCAGTTTCCTCCTTATAAATGAGGAGATGATAATACTTTAAACAGTTGTTCAAAAGATTAAATGAGATACCCATTAAATGAGATACTGAGATACATCCATACGTTTGCTCATTTTCCTCTTTCAAGCAATTGCTCTTCTTGCCTATTCTGTACTTAAATAACAAACTACACTGAATATGTAAGTGTGGGGCATGGTGGCTTTTTAACTATAAACA